AGCAGTCACCGGCCACATCGACCTGATCAGTGTTTGATTGTTGTGTCTTGTTGCTTTTCTTCTTTTGTCTCTCCTCTATCCACTCACCCCAACCGGTCGAGGCAGAAGGCCGCCCACCAAGAGCCGGGGTCTGTCGGAGGTTTCTTCCGTTAAAGGGAGTTTTTCCTCCCCACTGTCGCCAAGTGCTTGCTCAAGGGGGATTTGTTGGGTTTTCCCTATGTAATAATATTGATAACAGTAAGGTCTAGACCTTACTTTGTAAAGTGTCCTGAGATGACTTTTGTTGTGATTTGGCGCTATACAAATAAAATTTGATTTGATTTGATTTGATTTTGATTTGAATTAATGAATATTCCAATACGTTTTTAAAACTCGGCTCATAATTATGAGATGTTTTGTCCTGCTTGTTTTTCTGCAGATCTTCTGTTTTTGTGTTTTAACAGTAGGTCTCTTTGTTTCAAATGTCGTTTTTCTAAAGTCTGTGTTTCACAGTGCCAATCCTCCCTTTGATTGTTTTGCTCCCTACTGCCATTTCTCATCATCAAATCTTTGTCAATCAAGACATAAAGGAGCGACCTAGATATTTGACTGTGGTTTGGTCACAGTGAACAAACTACCATAGAAATGGCTCTGCCCTGTTAGACTTTGTAATAAAATGTGGCATTAAGAAATAAAATGGTTGTTAATAGAACAACTGGAATAAAATACAAATCACATACAGTGCGTTTCATTGTGAAAAGAAGCAACATTTCATCGTTTTAAAAATGAAATATCTTTTGTCTGTATTTATTCATGATTGTTTTTTATCATAATGTCTTTTTAACTTAGTAACACCTAACATAAATAATGATGATAAAAGCGGTTATATGAAAAATCTGGGCAATTCATATTGTGTTTAAATGTCTCTAGATGTTTCTTTTGGTCCCCCTCGTAGGGACAGTAGGTCTGAATGTCTCACTGCTGTTGACCAGGCTCGCTAATTTGTTGTTTCACAGTACCATAATGCGTTTTACAACAGCTTTTCATTGTTTAACCTGCATTTCTATTCTCCCTGTAGCTGTCAGAGGACAGCCTCCTACACTCATCCAGGTAAACCACAAAGCAACAAGCCTAACCCTGTCAGCTTGTTCAGTGTCTCTGCTGAGCTTTAGCAGATCAGCAGACTGGTGAAATCGGGAGTGTTTCCTTTGCTAATTTCTGCTTGTATCTGGTGGCAGGAAAGGCATATATATGTCGTGTTAAGTGTCTAATCATCTCCTCTTCGTTGACTTTGCATGGTTTCTGGGTGTCTAGTCGTCTTCCTCTTGTTGACACAAACTTGTAGTAATTAAACTGAAGTTGGATCTTTCTGTTTTCCTTCTTCCAGGCAGCAGCAGCTGTCACACCACTGTCCTACAAGCACTTGAAGGAGCACGAGTAAAAGGCAGCAAGGACTTGGAGCAACAGTGGCATCAGCCACATTCAGGGTCCCATGCCAGTCAGGTCAGAGCTGTCAGCCTTTCTGTCCATGGAGAAGAGGAAGAAAAAAGAAGAAAAAGACATTTGCTGGGGGGATGGGATGAAAAGGGATTTAGCATTCTTGTCTTTCTGCTCCATCCCTCTCTGTCAAGTGCCAGCAACTCCTAACCCCCACGCATGTCTCGCGTTATAAGATGCCTGCTCAGATGACAGACATGGGTTTTCTTTATTTTACTTTTTTTTTTTTTATACTAACTTCCAAATGTATGCATACGTGCTACTGCCTTGTCAGTAGTTTTATCCAGCTGCAGTTTTACTAAGCAGTTGTAATGTCAACCTTGAGAACGGCTCACCTGCATGAAGGTTCTGCAAATCTTTTAATAAGCCTCGATCTCATTCTCAGTAGTCACACTTAAAGCAGTTATTCTCCTTATTTCACTTTTCAACAGTTATTCTTTAAACAGGAACATATCTTCCAGAAAATACACTCATCCACTGGCCCAGTTTGTTCAAGATGAGAAGTTACTGTGATTTCAGCCCAGCTCAGACCTGCTTTCAGGTTTATAGAGGACTCTGTGATCCAATGATGACTCTGCACCCTCTATTGAATCCTAAGGTGTCATGCTACCATTCAATCCAAAAAGTGTGTCTATGTGTGTGCTGTATGCATGATTGAGAGATAGATTAGATGTTAAGCAATGGCAAAGAAATTTTCTTGGAGCATGACCTAAATCTTTGAATCTCAGAGATAATTTGAGAGTCCAGTTAATATAAGAAAATTAATATATATGCTGTATTGTTTATAGCTTAGAGATGTATGATAGCATCTGCTCAAAGCCAAAAAGATGAACAGTGTGATCCAGTTCTGTCCACACAAGTGTGACCTGAAAACAAGTCAGTGTGTGTAACATAAGTGTGTGCAACTGTACTGGATGAGAATGGCTAGAAACGCCTGTGTGCCTGCACTGTTAAAGAAACTGGTTTCTTCACTGCATAGATGGCCGCTAAGGCACAAGAATATATGCCTGAGCACACATATCAGATGAAAGCATTACACACACACACACACACACACATGCACTAAAGCTTAAATGAGGCTGAATGTTGTTCATTATCTAGTTTGGATGTTTTTTTTGTTTTGTTTTCCTCAGGCAGGCTGATGTAAAGTGTAAAGAAGACCAACTTCAGATCTGCAGTGCCAAAATAGTTGATGCCATTGTAAGAGTCTAAGCTCCATCTCCTTGCTTGTGATGGAGTGGACTGTTTAGCCTTTTGTTCTTTCCTTTAATTTCTTATGTTACATTCCATTTAAACATGCCATGAAGCTTTCCCATAAACAATTATTGTCTATTTTGAATATTTATTGTGTAATTTTACTCACAAAATGTTATTTTTTTATTACATCTTTTTTTATTGTGAAAAGTGGTCAGCTCTGTTCCAGTTAAGTTATGTGCCAATCCCATTTGATGGTCTTTGTCGCATTAAAACAGGCCTTGTATTTGACCCCACTGGCTGTAACTTGGCATATCTGATAGAGTGCCTCTGCAAAATAGCACATGCAGTCATAACATTAAGTGGAGATTTTAAAAGTACATTAGTGTTGATTTGTTCCTAACAAATGGAAAAATGTAAATGCCTCAGTGCCATTTTCTAAGAGAGACAGGACACTGTTCTTGGTGACCTGTCATCTCCAGACTGCACTGTGCCGGAGACACTGAGAGGGGCTGACTGCTTTGTTAGAAACTGAAAAACCTTTAAGTCGCATCAGAAATGCTATTTTCTGAGCTTAAAAATATCTTGGAATCTAATGTTTTGCCTGTCCAAATGAGGAATATAAAAAAGGACTGTATTTTTAATGCCACTGTTTTCCAGCCACTAAAAAAAAAAAAAAAAAAAAATGTCCAAAAAAAAAAACAACCAAAAAACCAAAATGAGAGGCTCTGGTTGTGAATGATGTCCCTGTCTGTCCCTGTGAGTCGGACTCTTTCAGGCACCTCAGCAGCCCTACATCGTGCAGCAGGAACATCTCACCACCTCCAGCCTAAATGCTCCAAATCTCCAAACTGAATGTACCTCTCTGAAAGTAGTATATTCAAAACCTGAAGAGTTTCTGTAATAAAGCAGAATGTTTTCAAGATAAACCAATGTCTTATAATGAGTGCTTTGTTATCCCAATACTTGCGTCAGCAGATTGTGTATATGTGTGTTTGTATGTATTTAGCCACACTAAGCAGATACTGTGCAGTAATGAGATGCCTGAGAAGCTAAGCTGGATCAGCTGGGTGGCATATCAGGACAGAGTGCTGCTGCTCTCCCACTGCCCCATGTGAAAACATCAAGCGCCCAGTCATTGTGGAGAAGAGGTTTACATAGAGTTACATGTATGTATATGAAAGTTCTACACTCTACTCTCTACTGTTGAGGACTGATTCATTGAGAGTTGTGGGCTGAGCATAGGGAGCTGAGTTGAGAAAGGTTCTGTGCTTCAGTATGTACACAATGACACCCTTTCTTATTTGTTCTTCTGTTTGAATGTGATTGTTGTGTATTAAACGCTGTGCTTCGCATGCGCCAAACTTGTTGGCTGGGTGCGGAAGATTTTCATTTTCTTTTTACAAAAGACCCATTCTTCTCTGCGCATGCATCTACAGTATATAGAACAGTATATTACAGTAAAGTGGGGACGTGGGCATGTCAGCCAGACAGCCTAACAATCCGGCCTACAGTAGTAAAGTCAGCATTAGAAAACTGTAAAAAGAACCAGGCACGAGTGTGAAAAGGGGAAAAGTAGGGAAGGAGTTGGCAGTGTGTCAGGAGCAGACTCTTGAGCTCTGCTCTGTGCAGAGCTGATGCACCAAAGCTTAGAGAGAGAGAGAGAGAGAGAGGTGGGAGGGGCATGAGAGAGACGGGCAGCAGTGGCCAGATGGAGCCCTGTTTGTTTTGGAGTTGCTGAGAGCAGAACAGTCTGGCGGCACTAGTTTGTATGTGGGGGGGTAAATACATAACACCCAACTACTGGACTGCAAACCACTGCTTTCTGCTTAAGGGAACAGGTGTTCTGGTGTTGCTGTGCTGCTCAGTGTGAAGTAAATCTATGCGTCTCAAGGTCAGGAAGATCCAGCAGCGGCCTCAGGGATCTGTTCCATCTGGATCTGGGGATCTGCAGAGTCAGGTGGGCCTCAGATTCCCTGTTGTAGCTCCCAGCTTCTATAGGTGGCCGCTATGGAGAGCTATAGGACTCTGAAGAGGATATGAGGACTGGACTACAGTCAGTACCTCCCACAACAGCCTCAGTTCTCAGAGCCTGATCCTGTTTTGGAGTCTAGGGGAATGGGCCCATCCTCACTGCAGGAGGAGACGCAGCCGGAGAAAGAGTCCAAGGAGGAGATGGAGAGCTACCGCTGCCTCCTGCAGGCTGGCTCCCAGATAGAGAGCACTCTGCAGCGTGAGTACACATTATGCTGACAGTCCTCATTTAACTTCTGGTAGCCACTCTCAGGCTTTTCAATATAATCTTGTATCTGCTCTGAAACTGTTTCACATTGCTTTGTCTCAACAGTTTGCACCACACTGTGACAGAAGTCCACTTAGTTTGATTTACACTGTTCATTTGTGACTTCTGAGAACCAGTACATGAGGTAACTGGAGAACTGCACGATGTGGCTAGGTTAGTGGGTATTACCGATGTGCCAGTCCCTGCAGCTTTGCTCAGTATGGGCCATTGCAGGGATTATGCTAGCTATTTTAAGCTATCCCAGATGGATAGATATTTACCCATAGTAAAGATTTGTAGCCTGACTGTTTGTAGAATCTGGGCTGTAGATCTGTGAGGGACAGGTACTAAAAAATGCATGTCCTTGGTGTCAACCAGCCCATTAGGAAAAAATATAAGATCTTCAGAAAGTACTTAATGCAGTCTTCCCTATTCAAGGTATGCAGTTGAGTCATGGATTGAATTACAAGGCTAATTAACTGTCAAATGTGTTGTACATTTTATCCGAAGAGTGTCTTGCAAATGGCAGAAAAGATGGAGAATGAAGGCACGATGATGGACAGCAGTAGCTCCTGGTGTGACTGACAGCTCCATGGAACATGTTCCTCCAGAGGCTAATTTGGCAGCCTTGAATTAATGTTTAATTGATTAGCCTTTATCTCTTTATGCCTCCTATGAGGTTGTTGTACCTGGGCCAAGGTGTGTAGGTACCATGCTGTGTTTCTCTTTATACCAGATGAAGTCCCCCC